TGTTTCCATGAATTTCTGGTTTTCTTCATTCTTCTTGGCCCTGGATGAGGAGAGACCCATCGTTACATCTAGATGGCAGCTTGCAAGCTTTTAAGATCTCAGTCGCTACTAGGCACAGTAGAAGGTGGAACAATGATTTGTGTAGTATGTTATGCCAATTGAGCTTGATGTCCTCTGGGACTATGGTCCCGAGCCTACAGGTACAACTACTCAGTCCCTCTGGGTAGCTGGCAGTGACCAAGCAGGGACAAGTGCATTTTTATAAAACTTCCAAAGACCTATTATATCACCCACCTTGACTATAGCTGTAGAGAGGAGACTCAGTGAGCAGTATACTCAACCAAGTGGTTGCTATCTTTATGATCTAGGACTATATCAATTTAACAAGAGAACCTAGGTGGCTGACCTAGAACTAAGTTAACATCCCAAAGGTCCTCTTCTTTTGGCTAAGCTGTTACACAGTGGGTGTGCCAGCCAGGCTGGCCTGGGGTTGCTCTTTGGGAAAAGAAAGAAATACCATGCCCTGAATGATCAGGGTGGGATCCCAAGTTTTCAGAATACGTCTACATAACCCTCCACTTTTTTTATCCTAATCATTACCTCAGAGGGGCCGAGAATGGATGATCCCTTCCTAAGGCCATATGCATTCAGTGACCACAATGTCTTATCAAGGTGTGTGATCCAGGAAGAGGTGAGGGAGATGGAGTTAGAAATCATTTTGAGTTGATTTTTTTGAAATCCATTCAACCTCTCAATATGCCAGCAGGCTGGCCTGAAGATAAAGGGCATGAAATGGCCATCAAGTACCTTGATTATTGGCCTGTCCTTGATAGACTGTAAATTGTCCCATAGCGGCACAAGGAGGAACCTTGGTTATTGCCCTTTTTCTTCCGTTGACCCCTTGCTCTAGGGTTGGTGCCAGAAGTCCGGTGCTGCTGCTTCCACTGTGGATAGTTGTGGTACCTCCTGGCGTCAGGCAAGTACCTGGACCAAGGGATCCTTTTCTCTCTGCTCCTGTGCCTTTGGCTACCCCTGAGTCCAGGACTTCTTCCACAGCCACATTGCCTTGCTGCCCCATTGTCAGCATCTCTTTGCCCACCTGCAGGAGAGTCAGCAACAACCAAAGCTCCATTTGGGCAGCTGTTTTCAATTCTGCTTCTCTCCACTCACTCTCTGAATGTTTAAGAGCAATGAGGGGACCCTTACTTCTCTCCCTTCAAACATCTTGCTGTTGCTGCTGTTATTTGCCATCGAGTCGGACCCGACTCATAGCGACCCCTCCTTGGGTTTCCGAGGCAGTGTCACTAGGGAAGTAGATTGCCCCATCTTCCTTCCGAGGAGTGGCTGTCAAACAGCTTAGGTCAGAACATTTGTTCCTGGATCCCAGGGCATTTTCTCATGCTCACAGACCTAGCCTCCTGGACCTCATACGTCCTCTTTTAGAAAGTCATGTCTGTCTTTGTCAGCATCCCATCCTCGTTGCCAAAACCATCAAGAACTGTGAAGGGTCTGAAACTTTACCTTCCCTGCTGTTACTATTTAGCCTGTTACTATCATGGATGCTGGCAGAGATATAAACTCCTGGGTCAGGTTCAGGGACTTTATTACTCACACTGTCATGGCAGTGGGTTATATATCAGGAGAGAAGCCCAGGGCCGGAGTCTCAGCATTTCTTAAGCCAGCAGCAAACATGAGTTACACATACCCCCAACCCCATGGTGATGATCACTTTGACCTACTTACTTGCCTATGTCACTAGCTATAGAAACTGCTCAGGAGATGAAATGCTTTGAAATCTGACACATGTAGCAAGAACGTGCAGGAATGCTTGGGGTCCATAGTAGACTGTCTTTCCCAGCAGTCTTTCAGAATCTAGCAAAGCACCTGCTACCTTCCAGGAGGCATTCAAACATTTGCTGAGTTGGTTTGAATATTTGTTTACTGTATTTTGGTGATTTTTTCTCATACATGTGCATATATATTCCTAGAAATAAAATGATTAGGAAAAAGAATCTGCATGTTTTTCAGATTTTAGATAAATATTGCTGAACTGTTTTTCCAGAAATCAAACCCACTTTCATCAAGTCAATTCTGACTCATAGCGACCCCCATTGGGTTTCCAAGGCAGTAAATCTTAACGGAAGTAGATTGCCTCTTGTTCCTTCCGTGGAGTGGCTGGTGGGTTTAATTGCCAACCTGGTTAGCAGTCAAATGTCTTAGGCACTACACCACCAAAAACAACAGTGCGCACTGTCATCAAGTTGGGTCAGACTCAGCAACTCCTCCTTGGGTTTCCGAGGCGATACCACTATGGAAGTAGATTGCCCAACCTTCCTTCCAGGAAGTGGCTGTTGGGTTTGAACTGCCAGCCTTCTGGTTAGTAGTCAAATGCCTTAGACACTAGGCCACCAGAGCTGCTTTTTTCCAGAAAGGTACCAATTTGTTGTTAATGTTAGCAATCATTTATTGGTAGATTGTGGCGGGTACTGTAGACACTTAATCATTTGTTACTTAATAATCATCACTATTTTCTGTAAGGAAGGTGATAATTATGGTAATGATTTCCATTTTCATATGAGTTAGTGAGCTTAGGTTAAGACTTAAGTTATGTAGCATGCCTTCCACAAAGGTGAAGCCAGGATTTGAATTTGATTGCAAAGCCTGCATTTTTTGCTGAGTTTCACTGCTTCCCACCAGCTTTGAGAGAGCTTGTCTCAGGTACCTTGCCTACATGTATAAAATTGCAGTCTTTTGTTCCCCCCAGAGTATGTGTACATAGTTTAAAAAGTTACCTAGTGTGAGACTTACATGTTATAATGAAAAATGCTTGTACCCTGCCTCACCTTTCCCACTTCTGCTTCTTGCTACCCAAAATTGACAATAATGGCACTCTTGGCCACATCTGTCTCATCCCATCTTCCTTTAACTCCGCTCTGTGGCACTGTCATAGAATTCTGTGACGGTGGTTCTTGAAACTGGTATTACCTGAGAGAGACAAAGCTGCTGAAATAAAGTGGATTTCATTCTCTGATTAGCAAAAAACAATGTCTATAAATTTAAGTTGCTGAAATAAAATTTTCTTAAACCTTTGGCTTTTAACCATTTGCCTGATAGCAAATACCAAAAGATGGCAAAATGAACGAACAATCACTTATATCAAGAGAAAAATCCAGAAGCAAGTGAACAAATTGGGTTCAAAGCTAGATATATGTAGGGTTGTGCCTTTTCATGAGTATAATTTTACATGGTATGCATACTATATGCTTTTGGTAAGTATGACTATTCCTCATTTGTACCATGCAGTAGACTCATTTTTCATGGTGCTGGTGAAAGTTTGAAAAACCGTAGTTCTTGGTCCAAGCACGTTCTTCTCACTTTGTTTTGAAAACTTAGATCAGGTTCTTGCATAAGGCCTGGCTTCAGAAGGCACCTGGGTTTTTATGGGATTCCATTTTTATAACTTTCACATAAATTCCCTTTTTTTTTTTTTTTTAGTATATGTACTTTATGTCAGGAAAAAAAATTCCAAAAAGAATTTTAACAAAGGTAGGGGGATGATAATATGTATATGTTTATTATAATTGAAATTTCCCTATGTGGCTTTTGTTTTTAAAGCTTTGTAAGGCTTAATTTCATTTTATTTTTCCTACTGTATCACAGGTAATAAATATCTTTACTTTTTTTTAAAAAAAAAAATTAGGTAAAGGAGGTAAAAACAGGCGTAGGGGTAAGAATGAGAACGAATCTGAAAAAAGAGAGTTGGTGTTTAAAGAGGATGGACAAGGTAAGCATTTTTGGAAGTTAGGCTTCTTCTCACAGCATTTCTCTTTTTTACATAAAGAATTTCCATGTGACATAATCCTGAGCAATAATTCTCATGTCTCTGCTTCTCTGTTTCTCACCCCCTATATTTCTCCATAGGCTTTTGGTAATCATTTCTTGATATACTTGGTCTGTGTTGAGGGCTCATGGCATTTCTGTACACATAGAGATTTCATTGTTTTGCACAGACAGTCAGGTTCAAACTGAGAATGAATTGCACAGTTTAGAGAGAAGTAAATGTCGGAGCCATGGTTGACAATTCCATGATTTTGTGGACCTTTTTTTCAAATATAGGTAGTTCCCAACTTAGGACAGGATTCCATTCCAGTGACTTTGTAATGTTCTGACATAAGTCGAATACCTCCTTTTTTTTTCTTTTAAAGTTTCAATATTGCCTTTTACTACCAGCATCTTTCCAAATCCTAACATTGAACATCTGCGAATGTTACAGTAGGTTACATGCTTCAACGTTGTATGTAGTACATATTACTGATGATAAAAAGCCAAACCAAACTCACTGCCCTCCAGTCAAAACCCCATTGGGATTCCAAGGCTGTAAATGTCTATGGAAGCAGACTGCCTCCTTTGTTCTGCGGAGTGGCTGGTGGGTTTAACCACTGACCCTTTGGTTAGCAGCCAAATGCCTTAACCGGTATACCACCAGAGCTCTTTACTAATGATAAAATGTATTTTTTTAAAAAAATAGTCGTAGCAGTTTCATCATAACTCAAACGCATCATAAATCGAGGACAGCTTGTAGTAAGTAAGTAGTGCTGCAAAGTGTGTTTAGTAGACCTTGGATGTGAGGCCCCTATAGACCCCTCAGTTCTCCATTGCTGTTAGCTATGAATAAAATACATATTGAATAAATACATATTGTATTGAATAAAATACAATAAATCAAAATGGAGCCATTGACCAAAATAAGATTTTGTATGTACCAAACAAACCAACCAAGGTAATACGTGAAGCTAGTAAAATTAATTCTGACTGGAGCACTTGCTTTTTTCCTCATATTTTTATTTTGAACAGTGAACTCCCTTAAGTTCATCTACTTTATGATGGATTTTGCAAACCTTTAGAAAGTTGGTTGTAGACACCATGATACTTTTCCTTAATACTTCATTATGTATCTGTTAAAAACTATATTCTGCAATAGAATTGTAGATTTAAATTCTATTCTGTAATAGAATTATCATGATCACACAGTTTAACATTAATATTACAATGTTACCTAATATATAGTCCATATTCAAATTTATCCAGTTGTCTCAATTTCAGCACTTTTTAACAAAAAAATCTTTATATTATTTTTTGAATAGAACTTTTGGTAAATTTGTTCACGCCCTGCAGATGAGCTATTAAAAAGAAAATATTTTCTGGCTGAATAACTTGCTCTTTCTTAACCTTAGTCATTTTTGCCTCTGTTAGCAGTTGACTTTCTTTGTTTATTTTGGCAGCCACTTTTTTCTTTTTCATGTATTTTCCCCCGCTTTGGAAGAGAGACTGCCCTCTATGTTCACTAGCTACTTTGAGGTGCTAGGCTCACTGACTGTTGTTTGAGCACTTGTACATGTCAACTCCTCAGTTGAGCCTTTCAAATTTATGTCTCAGTACATTTACAGATTACCTGATGTCCTTTTGGAGGGCCAGTTGTACATACAACTTCAGTAATCTAAAGGTTTTGAAGTGATACCCTGCCTCATCATGTCTTTTGTCATTTAATGACAGAAGAAACAGGCCCGTGTGCAAGCTAAAGGCATAATCTCAGGGAGCTTTTCAAATAACATTGAAATTAGATGGCTTACTGGGTATCCTTATGGAAAGATTTTGGTTAAAAGTTTGGCATTTTACCTAGGAACATTGTTCTGGTCTTAGAAGAACTTCAGACTAATCACTAAAGCATTCTAACTTAAAGAAGGCATCATTAATATTTAAGCTACTTTTGTTTGCCACTTGGACTAAAATATTGTGAGATTTGCCTCTAAAGGTTTTAAGGGAAAGGAGAGCCAAAATGGGGCTAGGATCCAAATGTGCGAGATTGACAAGCCACTTTGAGATCTGAAAGTAGAGTTGTGAAGATGGTAGCCAATCTCGTTGCTCAAAATGAGTAGGTAATTAAAAGATTTGTGATAGTAGGCACAGCTTGTGGAAATGGCATTACAAAGTGTTGGTTCTGGCTCTGCCATTAACTAGCTTTGTGACCTTGCTAAAAGCACTTGACCTGTGTGGGCTTTGTTTACTCTATTAAAGGAGAGGGTTGACATAGATATACATAGCTGGGAAAGGCTTTAGAAATTGACAGACTTTGAAGAGTTCTCTGGTTTCCCTGGTTATAATTAGAATATGTGTCACCTTGAAAAAGATATCTCAGTAGAATGCTCACTCCTTTTTTTTTTTTTTTTAATTGTGATTTGGGTAGATGTTTACAGAGCGTATTGGTTTTCCATCCAACAATTTATACATGTTTTGTGGCATTAATGCAGTCCCCACAGTGTAATGGCATTCTTCCCACTTCCTCCTGTGCTTACCATTTCTCTTCATCTTTTTTTTTTTTTTTTAGTTTTTATTGTGCTTTGTGTGGTTTTACACAGCAAATTTATTTTCTTTATAGCAGTTCATACACATCTTGTTTCGTGACATTGACTGCAATCCCCACAATGTAACAGCACACTTCCTGCTTCCTCCCAGTAGTTAACTCTTCCATGTGTCCTTCTTTCTTATGCATTCCTGCCCCCTGAGCTATCTCCCTATACAACTACTGCCCTTCTGATCTCCCATGATTGATTGTTCTAAGGAGTGTATCTGCCTGGTGTAAATGTTCACCTTATATGCCTATCTGTTTGGCTGGAAGCCTTGGGAGTGAGTTCAATTCCAGGCCTGAAGGGTAACTAGGGGCCATAGTCTTGGGGTTGCACTAGGCTCTATCAGACCAGTAAGCCTGGCCATCCCTCTCCTGAATTTGTACTTACACTTTTACTTATTTTTTATGTTTAGTTATACTTTTACTGCATGTGTTTATTCCTAACCAATACAGCAGTATGTTCTCCCTTGTCAATTTTGTGTGGACTTGTCATTTTAATTTGCTTTTATAAACGTTGAACAGTATCTCATACCCTTTTCTTCCCCTCCTCCCAGAGTATGCACAGGTAATCAAAATGTTGGGAAATGGACGATTAGAAGCAATGTGTTTTGATGGTGTAAAGAGGTTATGTCATATCAGAGGAAAATTGAGAAAAAAGGTAGGTATGGAGATTTGTCTTTAATATAAAATTGGTCACAGGAAAATACTGTCTCTGTATTCAGTTTTTCTGGGCCCAGGAACTGATGTTTGTAAATTTCCAAATATTTCAGTGAAACAGTGATTTCCCTATAATGAGTCAAACAGCAAGGTCTTGTTGATAATTTTACACAGATTCTGTAGGATAAAGACCCATTTGCATCTCTTATGTTGTATTTCTGCCCAGATTGTTTAACCTGAATCTGATCATAAAGGAACAATCCACAATCCAAATTGAGGAGTATTCTGCCAAACCGGCCCTAGGGGATGGCCTCAGGGCCTTAGGCAGTCAGCTTCCACACCCATGGCTGGCAGTTCAAACCCACCAGCTGCTCCCTTCCAGGTAGCTCTGGTAGCATAGTGCCTAAGGCACTTGACTGCTAACCAGAAGGCTGGCGGTTCAAATCCACCAGCCACTCCTCGGAAGGCAGGTTGGGCAGTCCTACTTCTATAGTGATACCTGCCTCGAAAACCCAAGGAGGGGTCGCTATGAATCAGGGATGACTCCATGGCACATAACAACAACTGCCAAACAAATGGCCGGCTTCTTAATCAAATGTTCAAAAAAAAAAAAAACTCACTGCTGAGGAGTTGGATCTGACTCTAGTGACCCCTCCTTGGGTTTCTGAGGCAGTATCACTATGGAAGTAGATTGCCCAGTCTTCCTTCCATGGAGCGGCTGGTGGATTTAAACCATCACTCTTCTGGTTAGCAGTCAGATGCCTTAGGTACTATGCTACCAGAGTGTCCTAAAGGTGAAAACTGGTGTAAAAAAAAAAAAAAAAGGAGACTGAGGAGGCCTGATTAAAAAGAAAACCAAACTCACTGCCATTGAGTCAGTTCAGACTCATAGTGACCCCCATTGGATTTCTGAGGTGGCAAATCTTTATAGAAGTAGATTGCCCTGTCTTCCTTCTCTGGAGTGATTGGTGGGTTTGAGCCACCAGCCTTCTGGTTAGCCCTGGACCACCAGAGCTCCATGATAAGACCTGGTAGTTAAATGAAATGTCTGGTCCTTGATTGAATCTGACTTGGGAATGGGGTGATAAGAACGTTTGTAAAGAGTATTGACAAAATTTGAATATGAATAATGATAGATAAGTGCTTTACTTGTGTTAAACGATGTGAGTGTGGTAATGAATATGCCATTGGAAAGTAATTATTAATTCCCCATCACAGTAGGTGTTCCTTTGGGTAGGTTTATTAATTAGGTTGGTTAAAATTCTCTTTCAACTCTCATTTTTTGTGATTTTTAAATATTTTGGTTTGTTAAACCTTCTATCTAAGGATTTGGTTTGGTAATCCTTATCAAACTAAAGAAATCTGGGGGGCGCTGTGTTTATGTGGGTGAATAAATGGAAGAACGGAGGGAGATAAAACCACATGATTGATTTTCTATTATATATAATGGGTAACTGACCATGTTGGAGTGGTTCCTGATTAAAAATGTCTTAAACTCTAAACTAATAATCATTACTCTGGAATTATTAAACTGCCAAGTAGTTAAAATAAGGTTGTTATATTTTAACATCCCAAATTATACAAAATTTGAAACAGGCTCAGGTGCTTACTATAGTTATTTTCTCCTAATTCTAAATAGGCACTTCTCCCAGAGTTGGGTGAATAGTTTACTGATTTTGTGGGAAGACTCTGAGTCAACATTACTCTTGATCCTTTAATTTTAAGAATAATGTGCTGTAAATTTTCCTTTCTAGGTTTGGATAAATACCTCAGACATCATATTGGTTGGCTTGCGAGACTATCAGGTAAAAATTATGTTCAGATCTTTTTGTTTACTTGGTTGAATTTGATGAACCATTAATATTTAGAACATGAGTCATAACTATATAAGTGCTTTGAATTCATACCATTTTCATGTCCATTTCCTTTGATCAGAACAGTAACCCCAGAAAAAGAGAAAGTTATTAATTCCCTGATTGACAGGTAAGGAAACCAAGGCTCTGAAAGAATTATCATTCCAAGTGTAATGTGACAGCCAAAGCTAACTCTTCATTGATTGATTGATTGAACCCAGGAATTCCACCACTGAACCACCACTTTCCCCACTGTAATCTGTTGTTACCGTTGCTGTTAGGTGCTGTTGAGTAGGTTCTGATTCATATTCTTATGTACAACAGAATGAAGCACTGTCCAATCCTGCTCCATCCTATGTTTGAGCCATGGTTGCAGCCACTGTGTCAAGCCATCTCATGAAGGGTCTTCCCTTTTTTTTTTTTTTT